GGTGAAGTTTATAGCTCGATTTGAAAATGTTCAGGATATTTAAACATATTTTATATTTTACCGCCTTGATTAAAGTTCTTTTCCTGATGTTCAGAACTGGGTCAAGTGGCTGCCCCAGTTCCTCCAGACATCACTGTGTCTGACAGCAGCCCTGTGGCAGGAGTGGATGTGGCTTGCTGATCTACAAGGCCCTCAGTGTGTCCTCATGAGACCTTGGAAACAGGACTTGCCTTCAGACTAAGGGCCTGTGCATCTTGGCCTGATCTCAGGAAGAAGACAGGGCACACAGGGACAGGAGAGTACTGGGGTAAAGAGGACACCTGGGGGACAGACAGGACAAAGGGTCAAGAGATACTACCTGAATGCTGTGCTCCAGGCATGGGAAGTAGTACAGAGACAGGAGAACACACTACCAAGTGAGAATGAAGAGGTTTATTTGAGAACCTAAAAACTCACACCAGCAGAGGGGACCTCACCCAATTTAACATTCAGAACTGCCTCCTCTGGAGCCTAGAGACACTCAGGTGCAAATCTAGAGTTTTCCATGCATATGGCCACTTCCAGCCAGTCCCCTCTGAATAGCCAGCTATCCTCGTCTGTGAACTTTAACTCGTTCACCATGACAAGTGTTTCTGCTGGGCCCACATGCATACGCCCTTCTCATTCTGTCAATGTCTTCTCTTCACAACACACCACAGTGGCTTTTCCTCCATTTATCCTATCTGTGTTAGTCAGTTTCCCATTACTTTAACGAACTCCTGAGATGTCAACTTATACAGAGAAAATGTCTACTCTAGGTCAGTTTTGAAGATGTCAGTCCAAGGTTGCTGGGCTGAGACTGCATCACGGTGGGAGTGCTGATGGAGCAAAGCTGTTCCCCTCCTGGCCAAGAAGCAAAAGAACAAGGAAGAGACCAGGGTTCCACAGTCTCAAGGATATGTTCCCCCAGTGACCCAAACACTTCTAGCTGGGCCCCACCACCTTCCATTTGTGCCCAAGCGGGAGACCAAGCCTGCAACACACGGACCTTTGGGGGACATTAAATATGAGAACTGTAGTAACGGCCACGATTTTCCATTTGTTCCAGAGACATGACTGTTTAGAGCCCTTAGGTATTCCTTTGTTTGAGGTTCCTGCAATAAGTGACTGTGTGGCTGGATCAGAAGCTTCCAGAAACTCCCCCAACCAGCACTCTTTATGTAGTTGAGTCTTTCCCCAGAAAACACACACAACTGGGTACATACAAAATCTTGCACACAATTTAAGGTGGCCTAGACCTCCTTGAAGGTCACCCAGATTTGAGATTTTAAATCTCTCTAAACCCTCTGAAACTCATGATGCAGAGCAGACTTACACCAGAAAAGCAAAAACTTGAGAGGAAGTCAGTCTCAGAGGGGATGTTTTGGAAGCAACGAGAAGTACAAACGGCAGGGTAGAGTCTATAAAAATGTAAGATGCTACACTATTGTCTTGCTCTAAAAGTGTATCTGCATATGCCTAAACCTGCATAACACCGCAGCCCTCTTCCACCGAGATTCATGGCAAGTTCTTGCTGCCATGCCCAAACACAAAACTCCGGGCTCTTTGAACTTGTGTGTACATGGCTAATACTTTAAAATATGGAACAAAAATATCACTCACATGTTCCAACTTACTGAAGATCATGTGCACTGGGAGTAACGAGGCCCAAGGCCTCCCTGCCCCCAGGGATGTGGGTAAACTCAGTCAGAACCCGAGCCACAGAAGCCTGGCACTGTCCTGGGTTTCTGGATTCCTTGGAGCTCATGGCTGCCCTCTTCAGGCCCCATACGTAGGTATGTTTCTGCTTGGATACAGCACTGAGGCATTCTGCCAGTATCCAGGCACCTCTGATGTTACAAAAGGGACCAGTGGGCACTGAGGGTCACAACGGAAGGCTGGCGACCCCACTGCCCCACCCTGCCGGTCCTTTTCCACTCTCACCGTAAGCCCACTCTTCATTTTTTTGTCACAGCCATCCTGGCAGACTCGGGTTCTCCCTCCTATCAGATGGAGCCATCAGTCCCTCCCTGGTTCTGCCCCAAATTCTGGTGCCCAAATCCACACAGTGCCCGGCATTGTGGGGAACTCCAGAGTGACTCGTCTGGAATAGGCGACTGGGAGGAACAACTTTTTGCTCTATTTGTAAAAGCTCCAGACGTTGAATGTTTTTTAGTTCCCCAGGCCACTTTCAGTTGGACATTTTCAAAGCCACATTATAGGTGAGAAACTAACGCTCAGACCATTGTGCCAAGTTGCCAGCTTCCTGTCCCCGCCCCCCCATCTTAAAGACGCAAGTAAAAAAAGCAGTCACTGAGATTTCACTGTCACCAAAAGAACAGTGGCCCCAGGAGGGACCCAACCACAGAGGCTTCCTTGGGAGAGCATCTGAGCTGCTGCCACCACTGTGCTGGGACCAGGATGCAGACTTGTCCATCAGAGAAGGTGGCTGCCAGGCCGTCAGACCAGGGCTTGCACAGGACCCCACTCCTTCAGCATGGTGGGCCACACCTTACCCAGAGCAGGCTGGTGAGCAGGGGAGAGAGCAGGCTCAGAGGAAGAAATGGCCAAAACAGAGTGAACTCATTTTGCCAACATTTTAAGATCATTCAACTTTCTGTAGAAATCTCAGGCATAACATACAAGGCACCCTTCCCCCCACCACATACAATGACCATGGATTCACACACTGTACACCAAGCACAGAACCCTGTTATAAAGTGATTTTATTAAATTGATTTGGACATACTGTAGGTCAAATAATATTTTCTGAAGATAACAATTATGGGCTTTAAGCTCGACATAAAATTAGTAGCTTCAAAAGTGTTAGCCATATTCCCCAGCAACGGCATGATAAAATAATTCAACTATGTAGAAATATAGAACTCTAGGACTAGCTGGAAACTCGGAAATCATTTCGCGTAATGTCCTTGTTTTGTGAGAAAAGTAGGCGCAGAAGATTAAACGATTTGCCCAAGCTCACAAACCTAATAGTAATAAAGCTAGAAATCAACCCAGTTTCTCCTAAAACTAAAATTCCACCAATGACATTTCAAGTGGCTCTCTATCAACTAAAAGCCTAGCTCCTTTCTAGTGCTCCACGCTACTCTGACATGGAAGTGATAAGACACTACAGTAAATCGCAGTGCTGGCGTCAGGCCTGGTGGCCCTCTGTGGAGAGGAAAGGGGGACATGGCTCACCAGAGGCTGTCAGCACTGAAATCCAGACCACAACAAGCTCACCCCGAGTAACACTCTGGTCTCATGGCCCACCTGCTAAATTGTGTTCCTTTGAAATCGCTATGCACTGAGGTTTTCACCCTACAACACTTCCCATCCAACAGAAGAAAGGAATTCCAACATGGAGAAAACCAAGCATTGCCTCTACATTCCCACAGCCACGAGTCCATCTTCCCACCTCTGCTAGCCGAGGCACCGCTGATCTGATCACCCACTCCAGAGCTCTGAAGGTCCTTAATGTCCCCAAAGACTTCCTGAGCAAAAGGACTGCATGTGGGATGGGAGTCCGTAGAAACAGGAACGAGAAGAGAGACAAGGCTAAAGCGGGTTGCTTCTATCCTTGTCACCGAGACTTTTGGTCTTTTAAGCATTCCTTGAGTCCTCCACATGACTTTTAGTATCAATCTAGCAAAAAACGAAACAAACCAACCAGCAACAGGCCTACAGAAGTCAGAATGCCGTGTAGTTGGCACCTCTCCCCTCCCGCACTAATGCCAGCGCCGGCCTCCTTCCTGTCCCCAGAGCAAGCAGCACCTGCGCTGTGGGGCTGGGGCATTGGCCCTCCACCTGAGCCCCAGCGCCCCACGCGGTGTCCCTGACCCTAGCTAACGCTGCCCCCACCCCCCACTCTACGAACCACCCTAGTTAATTTTCTTCATAGCACTTAATCACTACCTCAACTACATTATTTATTTGTTTACTTGCTTATCACCTGTCCTCTCCACCAGAAGTCACCTCCATGAGAGAGCAGGGCCCTTGTCTGCCTGATCCAGTGGCTTTCCCAGCACAGTGCCTGGCACCCAGGTGTTCAATAAATACTTATTGAATGAAGACAGAAAGAATGACAGATTAGCAATACATGGTCATGCCCAAAAAGAAAGTGGGTCATGGTGCATGATGACTCCTGTACACTATTGCCAAGATACAGAAATGAGACAGCTCCCTCCATGGCTCCTCCCACCATCCTAAGGCCTCCCCTAGCTTGTGAGGAGCCCCGCGCTGTTACAAAAGGAGCCCAAGGGTAACTCTGGAGGGAGACAAGTTCACTCTGACATTTCTCCCTGCTATTTACATTCAGCACAAATTCAAGTGAAAATGCATGACGCGTACACTAGAAAGAGTCTAACATGGAAACACAGTGATTAGCAGAGTCCACGGAGCTAAAAATCCAGGCTGTGGACATCTGCCAAGGGTTTCCTGATGGGCTGAGTGGCTATTGTGAGTGGCCTAAAATCTAAACTGAAATTCGATGCCATCTAGGAAGGGGTGGGTGTACTATGGTACCCAGAGGACACGAGGTAAAGTGGGTTCAGAAGAACAGGAGCTATGGAAAGCTATGTGGGACTGAGTCAAGTGACCACCTCAGAAATACTAGAACATGGCCTTAGTGGGAGCTGTCATTTCACTGCATTGACCAGTAGTAGGCCTGGGTCAGGAGGAAGGAAGGGGCACGAGCCCTGAAAGGGAGCATCTGGGGTCGCTTTGTACGTACAGCACAAGCAAAAGGCAACTCTGAGGCTGGGCACTGCTCATGGGTTTTGAGTAGTACTTCAACCACTGAGGCCTTGTGCCAGAATCCCAGGAAACACACACCTGTGACGGGGACGTGACAGCCCATCTGGGCACATACTCAGGGATTCCATTTTAAAGTCAAGTTGTAGAACACACTTGGTGTGAATGAAAAACTCAACGTCACCTAAGCCTCCTAAAAAAAAGTGTTCTGCAAGGGACTGCTATAAATAGTCCATGTAGGTTACGGGGTTTCCTTCCTAGGGGCACTTATGGGTTTTAAGGTTTGTGATTCAGCAAAGCAAGTTATAGAACTGCTATCTTGAGGTGGTTTCTCTCCTTGGTGTGCACTCTCTGGTGGATGCAGAGGCTTGTGCTCTGACTGAAGGCCTTCCCACACTCGTCACATTTGAAAGGCTTCTCTCCTGTGTGCACCCTCTGGTGGATACACAGGCTAGAGCTCTGACTGAAGGCCTTCCCACACCCACAACACCTATAGGGCTTCTCACCCGTGTGCACCCTCTGGTGGATGCAGAGGCTGGAGCTCTGGCTGAAGGCCTTGCCACACTCATAACACTTATAGGGCTTCTCCCCAGTGTGCACCCTCTGGTGCATACAGAGGCTGGAGGTGTGCCTGAAGGCCTTGCCACACTCTTCACATTTGAAGGGCTTCTCCCCAGTGTGGACTCTCTGGTGCATGCAGAGGTTGGAGCTGTTACTGAAGCCCCTTCCACACTCACTACAGACATAGGGCTTCTCGCCTGTGTGCACCCTCATGTGAATTTGAAGATGGGAGCTCCAATTGAAGGCTTTGCCACACTCATAGCACTTATAGGGCTTCTCCACCGTGTGGATTTTCTTATGTCTATTAAGCTTTGTTGTAGTGCTAAAATCCTTACCACAATCATCACACTTGTACACCTTCTCTCCTGTGTGGTCTCGCCAATGGATATGCAGTTCTGATATATGAAAGAAACCCTTATCACACTTGTCACATTTGTGGGGCTTCTCAGCCGTATGACTTTTCTGATGCATAAACAGGTCTGCTCTCTCAGAGAAAAACTCCCTGCACATGGGGCACTTGTAGATCATGTTTCCTATTTGGTATCGTGACTTAGAGGAACTTCCTTAGGACCACTAGTTCCAGTGCTCCTTCCTAAGACCTCTCATTTGGCCATCTGGTCTACCTCAGGCTTGCTCTGTTGGGCAAACTTGCGGTCAGCCTCAGCTTCTCCCTGCCTGTCTTTCTGTGGAAGGCTTCTCCCTGCATAGTGTCCCTCACTCGGCGTTATTACTGACTATAAAGTGACACCGACTTCCATTTGAACCCCACCGCTCATAAACATAGAACTTGCTCTTAGGTCCTGAGTGGTCAACATTCCAGGGGCTGCCAACAGGAGGCCTTTGAGGTTGAAGCCTCTGGAATCTTCCTCTTGTAGAGCAGTCCTTCAGTTCATGTCTGGAGAAGGCGTGCACGGTGCGTCCGTGGGCACGGTGCGATGGGCTGGTGGGTTTTAAGCCCCACAGCACCTGGACAGTCAATGCACTGCAGCCTCCCGCCTGCCAGACAGCTAGCCTTGCCAGCACGTGGGCTCCGTGCCTCCAGGGACAGTCAGCCTTGCTCCTGGATGCTTCCCTGACAGGCAGCTCGCCAGGCTTCTGCAACAAAAATAAAACATACTGAAAATGCCTTTCTGTCCAGAAAATGGCTGTTGACACCGTGACGACTAATACAAACCGTGACACACCTTTCTGATCCTGATGAGGCGGCGCTCTTCTACTCCACAGGGATGGGTCTCTCGGATTTGCAGGTCTGAGGAAGAGAATTTGTAGATGTCACGCTCCTGTTCCTGGGCCAAACACATCATCTAATTACAACTGCTCACTGCCATCACCCCACCAATGTCAAGGGGACCATGACTGACCAAGAAGAGCAGAGTAATCTTCAAAAGACCCACGGGCGCAACAGAGGCAGCCCTACTTAAAGGAGCAAGGAGAAGTGCCTCCACTTTGTGCTTCGGAAGTACAATGCCACTGCTTTGCCATCAACACTCCATGTGAGCTGTCCTCTAATCCACAGAAAGAAAAATATGACATGCCGGCATACCATCCACTGCCTAACTGTTCCCCATGGTTTCCTGATGTGCGTAAAATCAAATCCAAACCCTTATCCTAAAACCTGGTCCTGTTCTCTCCATGTCACTCACTGCTTCTTGGCACTGACTTTGTTTTTCAGGTCTCATGTACCCCAAGCTGTTTCCTGCCTCAGGACCTTTGTACATGCTGTACCTAGAGCTAGAACCACTGTCCCCACTCTGTGCACAGCTGTGTGTCATCTACCCTTTGCCCCGGACTTTAGTCTTGTTTGGTTCCTTCAAAGCACACACAACTGGTATGCTTTGCTCGATTTTGACCTCTCTCTCATAGCAGGACATGAATGCTGGGAGGGAGGGGCTCTGCTCTACGTACTGCTGTGCTCTGGTTGATACATGCTGAATGCACCGAGTCCTGCAGGACCCACTCTCTACCCATAAGCCTGCCTCACTCTGGGAGAGCAGATGAGGCTGCCGTTCCAGTCTTTTGATAGCCTACCAGGAGACAAAATACACAGCAAGCAGAGTAAGTACGGAGGAGAAGATAAATTCCCAAATCTCAATCTGAAGTATTTTGAGAGTTGGAATGTTAGCTATTTTTTCATTTCTTGTATTTTATACAGTGATACTAAGGTGACATCAAAAGGTCTTCCTGAAATGACACTTTTAGTACGTTCCACATATGGCCAAGGCGCATGGGTGGCTGACCTCCACAGGGAAGGGGCAAAAGTTAACTAGGACTACTTTAGGGGAAGTTTAGGGTTATGGAATTCAACCAGACACTCGGAACATCTAGAAAAATTATATAGAATCTAGTCTCAGTCCTAGTAATCCAACATGTAGGAATGTGCCCTGAAGACACGCTGGTGAGGACAGGGAATGACCAAGGCACTCTGTAATTCCTCAAAGCAGTACCTGTCACAACTCAACCTACTGGCAATCCTGAGCCCACCAGCAGGGGACCAGCTGAACCAACCCTGAAACTTCCTCCACAAAATGCTGCCTGAGGCACCTGGTGGGGACAAGCCTGCCTAGGAATGACATGAACCAGGTAATGCCTGTAAGTAAAGATGCTAATGCACAGAAGACATGAGTCCCAGCCACCATGTTGGGTATAAAAACCAATGTAGTCAAAACAATCTCAGCCTTCAACTCCCTACCTCCAGGAAGGGAGCAAGGGCACGAAAGTCTCTTGACACATTTGTTCTGCAGCCATGACTCTGGAAACAAATATTTATATATTTAAAAATAACACCAAATAGACAATGAAAAACAACCCCTAATGCATTAGAGCAAACAGAGAGTGAACCTTGAAGCTACGGTGTTGGTAACCCACCTACAAATGACTGAGCAGTGTGCCAACTATGAGTCCTGAGGATGCACTGACAAATACAGCTGAAATCAAACTTTCACGGCTGCACTGGCACACTGAGTAGGACCTAACAAGTTGGCGTGTTAGGAGCCAACAGCAGCTGTAAACAGAAAACTGAAGTATAAAAATCCTGTAATGAAAAATTTAAAATAAGTTTGAATTCTTTTTTTCCTTAGCTCTGTTACTCAAACATCCAGGAAGCAGTAAATGACAGCAAGGCGTGTGCCCAGAGCCCTTCCCTTGAAGACTGTCTCATCTAGGAGCAAAGGGACCCTGGAGGAATGCTGGCTTCAAGACTGGAGCCAAAAAACAAGAGTCAGGCCTGGGAACAGGCAGCCAGCTCTCAGTCCCTGCCAGACTCAGGATAGCAAATCATCAAAAGAAGCGAGGAAGGTAATGAACAAAGCATGCTGGACATGAAAACCAAGGAGCTCAAACCTTGAAGGGTGGGGGGAGACGAGCAGACAGGCAGAGAGAGCTGGGCACTTGCCATGGGGTCAGAGGGCACCCACTGTGTACCCTGAAAACTACAATAAAGGGGAAGGAAGTGCTCCCCACTTTCAACTCGGGCACTCTCCAAGCCCAAGAAAGCAGCTGATGGCAGAGAGCCGGGTGAACAGGAGCACCTGGCGTTAGTTCCACTGCCAGACTGGCACCCTCACCCAAAGCTCCAAGCTGTCAGGGTGACTTGGAGGCATGGCCAGACCCAGGGCCTCCCGCTGGGGGCAAGCACTGCCAAAGCGGTGCAGGCGGCAGAGGGAGTCTGGTCTGTGCGACAGCTGCCCCATCCCCACCCTCAGAGACATGCAAAAGGCTTGGGGACTCTGGATGCGATCCAGATACAAGGGACAGGGAAATGTGACACAAAGAAGCCAGAGGTCAAGAGCTGTTTGATGTGGCTCGATGGCATGAGGGCAGGGCGGCCGAGATGGATCTTAAGTGCTTTACAGACCAGGCCAGGTGACAGGGAAAGTAAAAGCTGCAGGCGGAGTACAGGCAGCGAGTCACTGAAGTGACAGAAATGGGGGGACATTCTAGCTCTACGTGTGCTCAAGTTCCTCACGGTAAAAGAGTTAATGCCCACGTGTTATTTTCCTGATTTCCTAGCAGACCCACCACACATAGGGAACTGTGCACCTCTCCTGCCAGGCCTGGCATAGGGCAGTGGCAGAGGACAAAGGCGGCAGAGCCACTGGGCTCCTTCCCTCCCAGGCCAATCCCCGACAGCATGCCAGCAGCCCTATGGGAAACCAAGCACGGGCCATGGCACACACGTCCAGCCTACCTCTGGCAAGGCCATGCTGCTCAGAAGGGCCAGGAGGTCCCTCCCACCAGTGACCCCTGCCAGCTCTGCTCTTGGGGTAGCATCAGGCTTTGCCACCTCTGAGTCTCCCCGCAAGGCAGAGTGGGGAAGGGAGGGGAGGAGATACTTTTTTAGGGGGGAGAAAAATGGTGAAGAAATTCCACAACTATGTTGTGTGACCAACCAAAGACCAGAAAGGCAAACAAACAATAAAAGGGCTCAGTGCGGTGGCTCCTAAGATGCCTCAGATCTGCGGTGGTGAGAGGTAGGGGTCTGCAATGCACGACCAGCACTTCTTGCTCAAAACCCCCCTTCCGCCTCACATTTCACATCCTGTGGGAGGGTGGGAGAGGACCACGGGAAGAAGTACACCCCACGGCAGTGGCCTGGCTGCCAGGGTGACCTTCAGACTCCACACCTGTGACAGCAGGTGTGCCTTCGGCCTGCACTAGAGAACCATGCAGACAAGCAGGGCAGGGAGACAGGCAAAGCGAGGGCCATGGCCCAAGTCTTCCAGCCTCAGCTGCTCATATGAACTCAGTTATCCAAGAACGCCTGTGCTGCCACCCATCTGTCAGGAAAACTGAAGGACCAGCTACAAACAGCTGATGCCAAGGTGAGGGAAGTCAGAAGACGAGCCTGAACACCAGGAAACTGCCCAGACAGAAAAGATGCCCAAGCTGTGGCACTGGAAAAGGAAGTCTGGAGCCTGGGACACAGGGCGTGTGGGTTGGGAGAATGGCTCCTCTCTTTGAGGACTGCCACACATCCCTCCCTGCAGGGCCACCCGTGGCACTCAGGAGGTGACACCCAGCTGTTCTGCAGGCCCTCTGTTGACAGGAGTCTGCTGTAGTGCCTGCAACCCCACTCGGGTCCTAGCTCCAGGGTAAAGGTCAGGAGGAGGGGACAGAGGCCCCCGCTGCAGCTTCCTCTGCAGCAGAACTTGAAGGTTACAGCCCCTGCCAGTGAAGCTCCAGAAGCTGGGATGGGCTGTGGGGAGGGCGGGCTGAACATGGGCTCTCTGAAAGAGGGACTCCCTTTTACACAACTAACTTTTCCGATTTCTTCATTCGGTGATCTGGTGACACAGGACAAGGATGCAGTTGCCATGTAGGGCAAGGGAGACTTCAGGAAGTGTCCAGAGAGTCCTGGCTCCACATAAACTCACTACCCATGTGAAGCAGAGCCCAGTAAAAGCTGCAGAATCAATGCTAAGTGGATGACATTCAGAACAGGCAGGGTGGGAGCAGCAGGGAGAGAGCTCCCAGCTGTGCTTTTGAAGGAGCCGCAGCTTTGCCGCCACTGGTCTACTGGCTCAGCCAACTGCAGAGGAACACCATAGCGCTGCAGAGGGCGGGCACCTCACCTGGGGCTGCTCTGCAGGACGCCAGGGTCTTGGCAGCAGCACTGCATCAAGGCCACCAGCTCACCTCACAGCTGGAGTGGCAAGGTGGAAGGGTGTGCTGGGAGACCTATGCCAGGGAGATGAGGAGGCACAGGGGGGCTGCGGGGGAGATGGCTTTCCAGGGACTGGGGAACCTGAGTGAGGGGCAGATGGGGCATGAAGCCCAAGCAGAAGTGTGGGATGGGAGAAAGAGATGGAAACCCACTTAGCTCTCGACCTTCTGGCATGCATGTCACCTACCACCAACTGGCATCTACTTTGTCAAATGAGATGATATAGATGCCCTGGCCTGTCCCCAGAAAATGTTTCCCACAGTATCAACGGGTCAAAAACGCAAGGGAGCCAGCTTTGGAAACACAAGGGCAGAAGTGTGTGATGGCCGCACACATGCTCAGGTTGCTGGGGTGGCTCCAACACCTGTCTGACCTCCTGGCATCTCAGAGGAACAGCCTCTCGCCAACAGGAACAAAAGTGTAGACCTGAGTTCAAGCCCCGTGGGGATGGGTCCAGAGGCTCACGTTATCTTCTCTACTTCTGAGCTTATTTAAACTTGCCATAATAAAATGAAAGAGTATCAGTAAGGCCTTTGCTAACAGGACAGTCTAAAGCCACACAAAGGTACATATCAGCATCCCAGACACCCCCAGCTGTGCCAATCCAGACATGTGGTCCAGAACCACAGTGAGGCTGACTCAGGTCTGTGGGCAATCTGTCTGTCAGGAGTGGAGCTCTTGTCTTTGAACACCCCCATTCCACAGTGTTCTGACTGTGAACCCCACAGCCCTGCTCTAGACCCCCACAGCATCTTCCTCCTGCAAGGTGATCCTATCTGCCTTTCGGTGTCCCTTCTGCCTCAGCATCAGTGTCTTCTACCTGCATTCTTCTTCCCTGCCCCTAGCCCCACCACACACATCATGGCATCACCCCAGCTCTGTACTCACCAGTAACTGAACGCCCTCTAAAAGCCTGTGCCAAGCAACCCATTTTGGCACCCCTCACGCTCCAGACCCTGCCTCTGGCGTAGCTGGGATTAAGATGTACACCACCATGCCCAGTTTGTTTGTTGAGATGGGGGGGGTGTTGCTAACTTATTGGGTTGGCCTGGAACCATGATCCTCCCAATCATCACCTCCTGAGTAAGTGACATTAAAGTAGGTGAGCCACCTTGCTCAATCCCCTGAGTTCTCCTATTTTTTAAACATTCATTCTGACCCTAGGGTTCATAAGAACCCTAAAAGCACAGAAGGCTTTCTGCAGCACTCTGGTTGCTGGGTGGCGGGTGTCCGCTCTAGGAACAGGTTCTTTGACATGTCAGTTACAACTCTTTCCACAGGGGTCAAACTTCCAGTCCAAAGCCAGACCTACCAGAATGTATGGTATGTAACTGTGTAGGGCACATGTTCTGGGAACAATAAAATGGAGAACGGGGAAAAAAAAGAGACGTCTCTGCTCCACCCTACACACACTGTAGCGAGCTGTGACGCCTCCAGATTCATGTTCCCCACAGGCGAGAACAGCCAATGACAAAGGGCCTTTAGCTCAGCTGGGGACACGTGGGCCAGGAACTGTGAAGTACAATGAGTCAGGCCAACAGAGAGGTCCCTCATCTGATGGCAAGAATCTGCAGGGAGATCCTGCGTTCCCAACTCCCCCAAGCCATGCTGATCCCGATAAGGGACCCTCAATAGCTAGCCTACCCCCACTGCAGCCTAGAGGACAGCTGTTATTACAGCCAGTCCTGGCAGCCAACCTTGCCGGCAGTGGGTCACAGTGCACACACACACAGGTGTGGACAATCTGATGGGGACAGACACGGCCTCTGCGCTCACAAGGTGGCCATGGCAGAGAGAGGGTGCTGGCCCCAGAGTCCTGTGAGTAGGCTCTGGTGGAGCAAGGCACCCGGGAGCCAGCTATCGGGCAGACGCATCCTAACGAGTCTGGACCCAACAAGACCACCAGTAGGCTGAATCCTGGAAATCCCTGCTAGGACAAAGTAACCCAGCCACATGAAAACTAAAGGTCGGGCGCAGACCTGAGGTACTCAGGATGCCAAGCCCCAAAAGGTGGGAATTCAGCTGTGGCAAGGGGCGGACTCAGGGCCTCCTATCAGCAGGGTCCTGTACTGACACAAAAGCCTTCA